GATTCAGTGTCCAGAAGAAAGGAGGAGCATGCTTTTGAATATTACCCCCAGAAAATGGAAAAGGCCGCTTTGATGGACAGCAAACACTCTGTCGCTGAAGGCAATCAATCAGACACTCGAGTCCAGTCCGTGGGAACATGCTAGAGGAAACTGATAGGCCCTGACGGTGCAACTAGTTGACCTAAGCCTGGGGAAAGGAGCTCCTCCTAGGAATGCTGCATGCTGAGGAGGAGGAAAGAGGGCTGCAGGAAGGATTGCATGGGAGCAGGTGGCTGGCCAGGCACAGCTCTGTTGAATTCACAGTTTCACTGAGGACGGTCACTGCGTCTCTGGCCATTTCAGGCCCCAGAGCCTAGAACTGTACACAATTCCTCATCCAGTTACTTCAACAAACATTTACAGGCCTCAGAGTCAATTCCCCCAGCAGCCCCACGCGGGATTACCTGCACTGGCGAGCCTGCGCCTGGCCACCAGTAGAGGGCAGGAGAGATACGCAGATACCAAACCGAGCGCAGCCCTCTCGCAGAGCTTCCCTGCAGGGAAAACTGGGTCACTGAGTCCTGCCAAGCGTCAAACATTACAGGGGGAGTGGGCACACTGGGCCTCTCCAGCAAGGGCTGTGAGGCCCCATATGGCACCTGGCAGGGCTGTCAGAGCCTCAGGCCCTTTGGGCTGGCAGCAGTCACGCCTGCCTTCGGAAAGAAGGATGAGAATGATAACATGGGATGGCTCAGCGCTGAGGGAAGAGGCTGGGAGGATCTATTTGCTGCAAGAATTTCAAGCGGCTGGGCACCCCCTCCTCCCCTCTCCGGCCAGATGGGAGGCCAGGCCTGCCAGGACAAGGATGGGTGGGGCAGCTTGCTTCAGAAAGAGCTTGTGACTCACCAAGAAGAGTTGGGGCTCCATGCAGGCTGGGCTGAAACCTCGCTCTGCCCGGGTGGGGGAAGGGCTAAGTGGCTGATGTGAACGGGTGGATGCTAGATCTGACGGCTTGGTGGTTAGGAGGCAGGTCTGGGTCATACTTGCCTTTCATCCTGGTTTTGCCACCTTTGTGTCATAGGACCTTGGGTCAGTCCTTTTCAGACCTTATTTTTCTTTCCATAAACTGATGAAGCTATTTCAAAGATGAGATGGAAGAGTGGTCAGGTGTGCCAGCACTGTTCTTCCCGTCCATGCCCACTACCTTCGTGGTCCGGCAGCTTGTGCAGGGGCAAACATCTGCAGCAGAGATAGGGAGGGGACGGCCACTGGGCCATGAGTCTGTGCGGAGTGAGTGCATTCTACAGGAATGCTGGCCTGGATAACATGTAGAGGGCCACCACCCCAAGCTCCTTTCTACCTGACCCTAGAGCACCTTGCAGCTCCTGAGAGATGTGGGGGTTTGGGAAGAGCCCGTCTCTGCCCACCCCAAGTAGTGGCCTCTTGAGGTCTTTCAGCGTTGAGAAATCAGGGACGCTGAACAGTCTGGAACGGGAGGGGACCTGGAGACTTCACAATAGCTAGGAAAAGAGTTTTGAATGTTCCCAACCCAAAGAAATGATAAACATTTGAGGTGATGGGTCTGCTAATTACCTTGACCTGATCACTACCCATTAGATATATATATTGTAGTGTCACACTGTGTGCTCCATAAGTATGTACAGTTGTTGTAAGTCCAGTACAAAAAATTTCCCCCAAAGACCGGTGTATGCACTCCTCTAACTCTCTGTTTTCTTCGTGAAGACCATGAAGCAGGAACTGTGCTACCCCTTCCTCAGCCACAGAAAGATAGCAGGTGCTGACACTTCTGTATAAAGGCATGGCACAGTGCTCAGTGCTTGTTGGTTGTTAATGAGGAGGGAATCTTAAAGAACTAATTGGAGTTCCCAGGGTTACTGATGAAAAAATAAATAAAACTGAAGCTCAGCAAACAGTGGGACCACAAAGAGAAAAGTTTCTCTCCTTTTCCATTACTGCTAGAATCTCTATCTGTGATCATTTGGAGAAAGTGGCTGGATTGCTACAGTGAGCTGCACAAACCCCGGTGTCTTCTTGGGGCTCACTCTTTGTCTGTATCCTCCCTACCAAATTCTGCCCATGGCTCATGTTACCCACCCTCAGAGGCGAAGCACACAGAACCTTCCCAGCCTGATTTCTAGGGCTGCAAGGAGAGCAAGCGCTCTGAGGTAGAGCAGTATTACATTTCAGGATGTGGTATTGGGCAGCACAGTTCTGACTAACAATTGGGAATAGGAATCGCAACACTACCATGTACTAGGTGTGAGACCTGAGGCAAAATATTAAATATCTCTAAGTCTCAATGTTCTTGTTTATACAATGGTTACAATAATAGTATTTACCTGATAACACCAGCCTTTCCAGTTCCTTTTAATTTGAACTTGAAAGCAAGTATAAACCAGACAGGCTTCTCGCCTTAGGAAAGCTGAACAGCAGGACCCTAAGATGAACGCTGAAAGGCAGTCTATGGAACCTTCCAGTTCTGGCACTGGCAGTTTTTTCAGTGGTAGAAATAACCCAAGGCTGGAAACAAGTCTGTGGCCTATTAGATCCCTGCTCCCAAGTTCCCATGTGACTTTATTCTAGTGGTTGAGCCTTCTTGCACCATACTGTCCTCCTCTGGTCAATGTAGGGTTGAGCCTGCTAAGGTCCCTGCAGCCAGCACCTGCTAAGGCTCTCCCGGCAGGGCTGGGCCTTCACCCTTTGGGATGCAGCCCAGGCCTCACACTGCCATGGCAGCTGAAGAGGCAGCTCTCTGATGGACTCTGGCCCACTTCCCAGAGGAGGTCACTTAGCCCCGGGGAAGCCCCTGGTTTGCTGGTTTGGACACTGTGAAAAACCAGACAATCAGAACATTGGCCTTTTGGCATCTGGTTCTAGCCAAAACTTTTCTAGGAAGGATGAGGGCCCCAGTATGAGTGGCAAAAGCAGTGAAAAGAAGCCTGGAGCTGTTTTCTGTGGGCTTGCTTTGAAATTTGCAGCCTCAGCCGCCTAGGAAATGATGGAGACTTGAAAGGAAGCAGTGGTCAGGGGGCCAGGGAGATGTCTCCTTTGAAAAGGCCCAGGTAAAGAATGGATCCCTTGTATGGGGAGGAGTATTGGCAGGAAGAGGGAAAGCAAGCAAGAACTGGAGCAAGCACTCACCACTGACTCAGTCAACAAGCAATGAATCAGCATCTGTCCTACGTGTGGTGCTGGGTAAACAGCTGTGGGAATGTCATCAGAGAGCTCAGTCAGGGCTGGCTTAGAAGGCTTGATGCTCCATGAAGATTAGATGCGGTATAGACTATAAACATGAGAAGGGCAGTAGGCAGGAGAAAGAATTCAATCCCTGAGCGCTGCAAGCGACCCCAGCGGGTGTTCGGGAGCTGGATGCTCTGTGCTGTCATCCAGGGAGTGGGCTGGTTTTCCTGCAACAGCCTTCTAATGTTCTATTATCATTACCTCTGTGAAGCGTATTCCCATGTATTGACTCATTGAACCTAACGACCTCTGTCTGTGGTCAGGGAATGCTGGTGTGATTATGGTCATCCTTGTTTGGAAACAGGAAACCAAGGGCCACCCAGGGTCACCCAGGCTTTGAGATTGAATCCGTGCCCAACTACTTTTTAATCTTTTATTCATTCCAACAAGACGCCAACTGCCAGTGTCCTCGTATTGCCTTGTAGCAAGGATGGACCCGCCCCCCTCGGACACACACACTCCATGCAGACTTTTCACAAAAGCTCAGGCATTTTGAGGGAAAATTAGGCTTTCTGATTGTCTGATTCCACTGGAAGCAGTAAAACTGATCGGTATTTGCAAGGTCAACAGGTGAATACCGAGTGGTCCTCAGTGTAGTCCGCAGGTCCTCTCCTCCCCAGATACTTCAGCTTGATGCCTGATGTCCTCTGAGGGCCCGCTGCATCTTGATGCCTCCATTTCCCCTTGGCGACTCCACTCCAGGACTTCTTGGTGACTCATGCAGAGACAAAAACCGGCAGCAGAACCACTGGAGTTCTAGTGAAGGCCACTCAGTATAATCAGATGACCTTGAGCAAATTTCTGAACCTTCTGGGCCTAGGCTCTCTCATTTTTTAAAAAACAGTAACAATCAAGCACAGCAAATAAAACTTACAGCTTTGCTCTGAGAGTGAATGAGTTACCACATGTAAAGGCACTGAACTATAAGAAAATATTCAATAAATGCTGGGTTTTTTTCATAATGTAGGAGTGGGGAACTTCTTGGCTAGAAAAAAATTATGCTAAGGATGATCACTGAGCATTTAAAATAGACCAGTTTTACTCAGTTCTTTACTTGAAATGCATTAGCTCAATCCTCCTAACCCTCCTATGAGACAGGTAGTATGTATCTACCATTTTGCAAATAAAGAAACCAAGGCTCTGAAATGTCAGGTTACCACTCAGGGTCAGGGTGACAGAGCCTCACATGCTGAACCTCTGAGATGCTCTGCAACAACCCCGAAATGAGTTACCATTTCATTTTCAGATTTTTGTCTAAGTAAGCAACAACCTCCTGCAGGGAGTTCTGCATCCCTTGTGCTAATAGTCACCCCCTCACCTAAGCTCTCAAAGCACTGTGGTTATGTTGAACCCTTATGCTTTCCATGCATTATACATACATGTATGTCTGTCTCCTACAGTAGGCAGCTGCTTTTTGAGAATATGGATAGAATTTTGTTCTGTTTTCCTCTGTTGCCTCTCCATGTAACTGTTACCCCAGGGCTCCGCATGCAGTAGGCTTCTGATAATCCCCATTGAACGGAGGTGTGTGTTAGGCAGAGGCAGCAGAGCATGAGACACTAGGTTGGAATCCCTGCCCCCACCGTGTGGCTCTGAAGCAAGTTACTAAGCCCTCTGGTTCTTCAGTCGTTTCACTTTAAAGTGGGATGATAGTTGCTTCCCTCAGGGGGTTGTTGTAAGGAAATGATACGAGAAAACGCAGACGCTGCATCTGCACGGTTCCTGGCACACTGCGCACTCATCAGTGGTGTATGTTCTAGCGCCCGTAGGTGGAGACTGGACAAGGCAGATGGCCATGATGAAGAAAGAAAGAGGTAACCCTGGGAGACTTGGAGAAACAAGGACACTACTAAGGACCAGACTTCCTTATGTCTTCGGGGATGATGGAACAAAGATAGATAAAAGAGAAGGAGATATTTTAAGGAAAGTTGAGTAACATGGAGAAGAGCCAACCAAGTGAGTGTGAAGCTGCTGGGACAGGAGGGAGAGGGCTGACTAGCAGCAAGGCAGCGGGGAGCAGCACACCAGGGACTTTGTGCAGGCTGGAAAAAAGGGGCGGGAGGAGAGCCCTGCCAACCACGAAAAGAGAAAGGCCAGGAATGAGGAGGGGGTGGCTGGGATGACATTACAAACCGAGGTGGCTGCAGAAGGAGCAGTATCTGTCTGGATGCAAAAAGAGGACCTGAAAGCCAAAAAGGATGAATAATCCAGGCATCAGGCTCAAGTCAGGAGGCAGCTGTTCATTTATGGCTTGATAAGCACTTGACTAAGCCTCTTTAGCTTGGTTCAGAAACCACTTCTAAGGTTGTTTGCACTAACATGTCTTTAGCTAGGGCCTGAAGCTTGCCGGAATACCTCACCTCGGAGGGATCAGAGAGCGGTAAAAGCAGAAGATCTCAGGCCACTGGACATGTTGTGGGAAACGGCCACCCCTCATATCCCAGAAAGAAGTTTCCAGGTAGTATAGAGAGGGCTTCTGTTGGTAGTACCCTGGCCTCTTTGAAAAATCAAGCTGGGTCTTTTCTGAGCTTCAAGTTTAATTTCTGCAAGTTGAGTAAAATTTGCTGGCAGGAGAATTTTTACCTGGAAGAGGTGGGAGTGAGGTGGGTAAGATTAGTGGCCCTTTCGATAATTTAGAAACAGGGGTCTGGTCTCATCTGGAGACCTGGCTCCTTCTCTGACCATCACTCAGCTCCCTTCACCATAGCAAGAGAGGAGGAGGCTTGTCAAGTGGCAGGATCCAAGTCATTAGGATCCAAGTCATTAGCCTGCAGGGGCCAGAATGGTCTTTCTGGTATGGAATTCAAGTGAGATTGTCCAGAGCAATTTGCAGACTAACTTGAAAGGTGACACGGGCAAGGAAGTAGCTAGAGAAACAAAAATTCCTTCACCCACAGAGCCTTGAGGCAGACATGCCCTGCCTAGTAACTAGAAATAGTAACAGAAATTCCAAGGAGCACATCCAGCCCGATGTGGTAAGAGCACACACAGATGTGTACATGTGTGAGCACATCCTGTCTTCTTACCTGCTCGCTCCAGTGCGGGTTCAGGTAGGTGGGGAAAGACTGTGCTCTACCCAGTCATTCAGGGACCCAGGGACCCACGGTTTTGCCATCTCCAATCATGTCATGCAATTTGACATCCATCTGGTAGGGAAAGAGCATGGAGACTACACCTGGAAGGTTTTTCTGGTCAGGTCTAGAAATAGCATGTATCACCTCACATGACATTGGCCAGAACTCTTTCCCAAGAACACAGCATAACTGCAAGGAGAGCTGAGAAGTGAATCTTAGTGATGTGCCTTGGAAGAAGATGAAAGAGACTTGATGGTCAGTCAGCAGTCCGTGCCACATGCCTGAAAACACACAGGCCGTTTGCAGGTGGGGGTTAGGAAGAGGAAATGGAGAACTGTCTTTGTTATTTTTCTCGTTGCTGAAACAAAATACCTGACACTCAAAGTTAAAGGAGGAAAGTTTTATTTGGCTCATAGTCAGCTGGTTCCGAGGCAGGGTGGCATGCAGAAGGACATCATAGAGGAGAAATAGTCCACAGCAAAGCAGGCAGGCAAGAAGGCAGCAAGCAGCAAGTCCAAGTGACCTTAGCAGCTTCTTTCTGCCCTTTGTATGTTCTATCTAAGCTACTGGGCTTAGGGCAGGTGCCAAACCAGGCAGTGGATTGATTTAGTAATCACACCCTCTTAATCCCAGCATCACACACTCTAGATCCAGCCACCTCTGAAAAAGCCCCATGACTAGGAGGTTTTGGGGGAACGTTTAGACACAAACCATAACAAGGACTAAACAGATTGAAAGACAAAGACAGCTTAGAACACAATGGGATAGTCTAGTGGCACCTACTTCCTTGTCTCCAAGAGTGCTCTAGAGGCCTAGAGAATACTCTGAAGAGAGAGTGAAGGCCTAATCACTCAGAGAAAGCTTCAGAGTCAGCTGGGGCAGGCGCAGGGAAACTGAGGTCCAGCCCAAGTCACCAGGGTAGTAGAATGGTAAAATCCCAGAACACACACTTCACACTGTAGGACCCATGTGTAATTCCTCTTTGTCCCATCTTTGTGGGAGGGGGCTGAGGAGCTAGGGTCTATGAGGAAGAGGCAACTGAGAGGCCAGCAGGCAAGGAACATCACTGCAAGGAACATCCAGTGGTAGAACCAGGAGCCCCACACATCTTAGGAGGAGAATCCTGGAGAGGGGAGGAGGTCTCTAAGGAGAAAAGGGAAACAGCTAGGAAATCCTATTCTGTAGGATTTGGCTTGATTTAGTGTTGATGCTCCTTTGGGGTATCACAGACCTATCCTCTGGAACTTTTTGTAGTAGTGGTAATGTTCTTTATTACACTGTCTAGTATGGAAACCACTAGCCACCTGTGGTTTGAGCATTTCATGTATGGCTAGTGTGACCTTAGAAACTGACTTTTAAGTTATATTCTATTTTAATTAATGAAATACAATTCTCTGCCTGTGACTATTGGCTAACTGTATTGGATAGCATAGGCACGTGTGTCAGCCCTGCAGAAGGGGTGTAGTAGGTTGTTGGCAATTTCAGCCAAATCTCCTCTTTCTCTGGCTGTTAATACTCTTGGCCCTCAGCTCCATTCTAGCCTTGTCCTTCAGGTAAGCCCTGGTAGATGGAAGTATAGTCCTACTCTCGAGTTTGGGCAGGTTTTGATCTCTGAGATTCTTTTGTATCTCTGTGAATCTCTGAGGCTGACAAGCATGACACGAGGAAGCGAGACTGGAAGTGCTGAGCAGACAGGAAAGGTTACTGAATCTTCATGGGCTTAGTTCTCAAACTCCAAGGGTTCTTGGACCCTGAGTTGTCTGAGCTTGGTTCCAAGGCATTATGCCTTCGTCACTGCTCCTGTTTCACGATGATCTGACCCATTGAAGGCTGGGTCACGTGGCAGCATTCTGCAAGATGCTCAGAGAAAGTGTTGCGGCTCGAGGACAAAAAGACGTAATTGCATCGGTTACTTACCTGCTCTGTGCCCAGACAGTCTAATGCCACTCGCCTGCTTCATGCCCAGACTATCTAACGCCACTTGTCTGTTCCATGATCAGAGTATAAATGGTAAATAGTATGATGCCTGCTATTTTCATACCCCTTCCTCCAGTTTCATTTTGAATCTAGAACATCCTTTTACTGGATAGATCAGCTGAGTGAGCTCCACTTTGAAGTCTGTTAAAGGAGAACATTTTCAGCAGACATGACTGTCCATTCCTGTGTCCCTGATGGGCTCCCAGGCCTGGGGCTGCCTTGCTGCTACTACAGAGCCAACACCAGGGTCCCTAGAATATACTCTACCTTCAAGACTTCCCGTTGCCTACCTCTTGGCCAGGGCATCAAGCTGGAGGGACAGGACCATTCTGATTCCTTCCTGGCCTCGAGTCACCCAGTTCTTTCTCCTCTGTTACCCTCCCCTCTGGGAAGAGCTGGTTTTCAGCTCTGCAGGAGACAGGGTATGGTGGTTTTCAAATATGGTGGTTTGCAGGAGATAAGAGAGATTTAACAGGGAAGACACAGAGTACAGTGTGGTCACTGGGCCCAGGGACCCTAGTTCAGGTGGCATCTGGCCTGCTCTGATACCTGTTCCCAGAGACAGCTTTTCCCCAAGCCTAGGCTCAGCTTTAAGCTGCCCTATCCTCTCTGGTTCCTGAACTGCAGCCTTCCCCAAGTTCTGGCTCAAGCTTTACCCAAGCCCCTGCCTCACCAGGCCTCCTAGGCCTTCTTAGAACTGGCACAGGAAGGCTCTTTCTAAGGGCACACAGAGTGAATGGTATCCTGCCCTCTGTGTTGTCCTCCAGTGGACCCTCAGCAGCTCCTCAGTAGCAGCTATGTGCCTCAGCGTGGCTTAGAAGTCTGCCACTATCCTCTTCTTCCCATTCTCTAACCAGGCAGGGTGCTCATCTTCCCTCACTTCACGTGTGAAGCATAATGGTCCTGTGCCTTTATCCTGTATCACCCCTCTCATCTACTTGGGGTGCCACCTCTGTATAGTATCCCTTGTCTCCCTAACTCCAGTCAGAAGTGTTTGACCAGACTTTTTAGTTCTGTCAAAGCACCTACATGAGTTTTTGTCATTTTAGTTTTCTTATCTTTCCCTGCATCCACCCCAGGCACCCAGCACCCTGTTGGGTTCTTTCAGCCCAGCGAGTAGGATGGAATAAAGCTCACCCTGACAACTAGCCTGGGAAACTTCTTCTCCCCTCAAGCCAGAAGAGATGAGCACAGGATCTACAGTGGATAGTTTCACTCTTCACAGACTATCTGCTATTGAAAGCTGCTGTTTCCCACCTCTGATGTCCACCCCCAGCCCTCTCCCCCAGAAAAGCAGAGACCCAGGAGCAGCTGGCATAGCCTCTTTTATTGAGCAAGAGCCTCATATCTACTTATTGGATGATATACCTGTACCTCGGCTTGTGGGATGAAGCTGAGCTCATGCTTAAATTGTGTTATTGTTTTATTCTATTTTCTGGTCTGTAGAGCAGTGCAAAGCGCGGTCTCGGGGATGACTGGTGTAAGCAGCTCCTTCTCCCCACCGACTGTGCCCTTCTGAATCTGGAGTTGGAGATTCCGAAACTAGGGCCAGTATGCTCTCCCCCACCTCTGGACTACCGTCTTGGGACCCACCTTCCACAACCTCCCCCTTCCCCACAAGCAGCCGAGACATCTTCTTCGTGGATATGCCTTCTGCGCGGGGCGCTAGCGGTGGCTGCTCCTCCACTGTGCTGCCGCTCGCTCAGCCAGGCCCCTGCCAAGCCTCCTCCTCCACACCCGATGGTGTACCTGGCTGGGTTCTCATTCCCACCCGGGAATGCTTTCTGTGGTTCCAAGTTGGACTGTCTTCTTTCCCCTTCTCCTTTGAAGGAATACCGATGGTACCTCGCCCCCGTCAGTTTGCCACCCAACTCCCTTCCTCTCCCTTTGCCTCCTCCATGTACT